TTGAACAAAAAATATGACTTTTTTGTGTGGGTATCGAAAGTCAGAAAATATAGATTATTAGCAATGTACAACACACACCACATTGAGAAAGCCACAGCCTGTCGCATTTTTTTAATTAAAGTTCGGCTCGTTAACTTGAGAACCTCTGGTCTAACATATCTTGGCATAAAATAACCTTGCGTGTCTATCCTGGTGACCGTACATTTGAACCCATGCGTATATCCACGGGTTCAATCTATATGCGGGTGCTAAAACCCATGGGTTAGGGTTAATATGGGTTTAACTATCCGTGTAACAAAAAAAATTCCCTAGGTGCAATAGCATACAGGTGCAATTGTCATGGGTTCAAATGTAATGGAACCGTCTATCCTACCTGCATGCAAGTACCACATTAATACTGCAATAAGTGAATCAAGTTTGCAACCTGGGTAACAGTACTTTAAATTTTTTTTTCAGTCTTCTGTTTTTTGCACACTGGATCCACAGTCTGACAGTTGGATCCATACCGTATAGTTATATGGTTAAGTTCAGTACAGTACCGGTACCAATCTTCCGGTAACACCTACAGACTTACCGTAATGTGATAGAGAGACCGTCTGACCGTGGCACGGTACCGTATCACTATCAGCCATGAAAATGAGCCGCCGTATACCAGTATACGATACCGACATACCGTACCTGCAGAAATGTCTGAATGTAAGTACCGGTAACTGTACTGCCCGACCTGCCGGCCGTATTGCAGTACAGTACTGTATTTCAGTATGTTACCGGCACGATTTCCTGTCCCTGAGATGAATATGGAAAGTCTGTGATTCTCATGTATCATGATTATGAGCAATGATAAATAAATAACGGGTCTTACTACTTACTGAATACAGCGCGAAACACCGCAAAGAGCGCGAAACAGAAGGAAACCAGCGCAAAACAGAGGGAAACAGCGCAAAACAGGGGATGCAGTCATTACCACCTCTTGTCACGAAAGAACCACGGTGCCTCTAGCCATGGTTTTATGGCGCTATTTCCGGTATATTTACAAGGTTATGTACCGGATTATAGGTCATCATGCGAAATTTTATCTACCTTTTTGGTGCTTCAGAAGTATGTGCAGCAATATGTCGCACAACCTGAATCTGCTACACACACACACACACACATACTATTTTCAGGTTGTGCGCCATCTTGGTGCACATACTTCTAGAGGTCCCTTTTTATCTAACCCTAACCCTAAAGCCAACCATATCCATATGGAAAATGTTCTAAATTATGGTACCCAAAATGTGTCACCAGCAGGGGCAGACCTGCCATTACAGCATTACTGGCTACATACGTTGGTTTGTGTTTTTAATTTGCTGCCGTGGTACTCCAACTCAAAACAAGGTGCCCCGAACTCTTTGCAAAAAAATTTTCTGCTTCACACTGTTTTGCGCTGTTTCCCCACTGTTTTGCGCTGTTTCCCTCTGTTTTGCGCTCTTTGCGGTGTTTCGCGCTGTATTCAGTAAGTAGTAAGACCGATAAATAACTAATATTACATGTTTGGGTATCACACTTAGTACAACTATGGTACATAATCAACAATATAAATGTACGGCAGTATAAACATCTACCGGTATAACAACAATCTGACAATGTATCACAAAAATTGGCAATTACAGAATAAACGAATCATGACTAGTACAAGCACTGGACTAAGAGCAAAGAAATTTCACACTTACCCAATGCTGCAATTGTATTGCTATTTAATATACCGGTACTGCTACAAATAACAAAAAAATCCAGACTATCTATCTCAGGGGTGGGCAATATACGGCCCGCAACGAGTTTTTGACCGGCCCGCTGACTGTATCCAACCACACTCTGTAATGTGGTCTGACGCATCATTCCTGAAAGTTGCCGATCGCTCTACTCTCACCGTCAGAGCGAGCTGTTTTTTTATTTTATTTTTTTATTTATAAAAACAGTCAATATTATCAATACTAGTCAATCTTAAAAATGTACTATCAAAAGCTATGACATTACCGACTTTTCTAACAAGTTTTCAATTCTTCCATCCTCCAAAAAGCTATTTTTCATATTTGATGCCATATTTTTCAGCATCCCTCTAATTTTACATTTAAAAATTATTCTCATAACTGATTGGAAATTATCCAAATCTTTAAATATTATTTGATTCCTGAATTCCCAAATAGCTGCCTTTCCACATGCAACTATCATAATAATTGACAGGTCACATGTATTTTGTGCAATAATGGTATCAATATTATTTTCACTAAAATGCAACTCGCACCAATCCCAAAATATTTTAACATAATAGCATTCAAAAAATAGATGTTTACAGTCTTCAATGATATTAATATTGCACAACACACAGTGACCATCATCATATTCTGTCCAATGCCTTGTTCTATTTCCAGTAGGTAATGCCATATGAATTATTTTCCAACATAAATCTTGTACAATTTTAGATATTCCATGAACCCAAATGTTATTCCAATCAATATCAAATTCCAGTCCATAATATTCCTTAATTGATAAACCTTTTTGTTTTGTCACTTCCATTATCTTTTTACTTAGAATTTGATTATACATATATTTCGTGGTTGGAAGTTTTTCAAATGAATATATTGAACTGGAATCTGTTTGAACATTACTTTGACTATTCAACACATTAGCCCATCCTGATGGTATGGCTTTTAAAATTTGTACAGAATCTTTTACTACTTTCCTATAACAATCAAGTTTTTTTTTTCACGCATACTACTCCATTTGTTTATGCCCCAAATTTTGATTGCTATTTCAAGACAGTCATATTGGAACAGATGGCCAAATGTTAAAATGTTTCCTCTTATCCAATTATTTATAAATTCTGGTTGATTCAACCATGTTAAGGCTGGATTCCACCATATGTATTGATCATATATTTGTTGTTTAGTGGTAATTTGTTTCGTTTTTACATCAAGTTCCTTGAATATGTTGACCGAATTTATATAAAACTTAATATATATAAATATAATATAATATAAACTTATATAAACAATTGTCTTAGTGAACAAACAATGAACCTTTCCCCGACCTTTGACCCCCGAATGACTCTTTCTATTCTTTACCATTGCAAAATGACCACCAGTGACCAATGAAGCATGACTAGACAAAATGTTCCTATCTTTATATGCATGGAATATTTCTGCAATTATAAGTCATCTTTCACAAAGCACAGACATTTTAAAAAATATAGGATGTCCATAAAGTCCTAAAATTATTTACAATTGCAGGGAATTTATCGATACCATATATTGTTTTGGCCTTCACAGATGTATTAAATGAAGTAAAACTACTTGAACTGATTAAAAAACAACAAACCTGGTTGAGATATACTGAGAATTGGCTTCATAACAAAATTGAAATTGTAAAGGGATTTTATACACACATTGTATTTATAATTGTAGTTAAGTTTATAATGTCTCGAGCAGCTATGTCCTCCTCTCTTCAATACCTCAATTACCAAAGTTGTTTCAGTTAATTGTTTGTGTGGAGTGTGTTAACAAGTCAAAATTTGAATAACAAATCCTTGATTTGATTGGTTGACACAATATGTGATTATATACAGGGTGACCAATGGGCTGATTAAATAAATAAATAAAACTAAGACAGTGGTTCTCAAGCGATGGGGTGCGCCCCACAAGGAAGGCATAGACAATTATTTGAGGGGGCTTGAAGCTAATTCAAAATAATCTACGTGGATGAAACATAAATAATGAAATTAATGTAAATATCCAAAATAAGGCATGCGATATCAAATCGAATTTTTTTTTTAATTAGCTTGACGCCCCATCAAACAATTGTCTACGGCCCCCTTGCAGGTCGCGCCCCATTTGAGAACCACTACGCTAGGGCATGACCAGTCTATTGAAGGATCTCAACAGCGTTAATGATTTCGGCTGCGGTGATACTTGAGAACAGTGGTTCTCAATGGTGGGGCGTGTAGACAGTGTCACAGTAGTGTTTGTTTGCTAATTTGAAATAAAAATATTTGTTTGATTTGATCTTTCCTGCCTTATTTTTGGTATTTACATTCACTAGTCTGTTGCAAACTTGACAAATTCTAGAAAGAACTTAAAAAGTTTGAGAACCACTGCTTTAGTTATAGTTCTTGAATCCAATTTCCGCCTCCACGATTCTGTATTGTAATCTTGTTTTTCACTTCATAGTTGTTCAGCATGGCTTCAAAACTGTGTGTTTCAAATTGTGATAATGTTAGCTTGCTTCTAGAATTCAACCGCTCTTTAAGAAGCCGTATTCAGTACTCAATATCTGTGAAATTTCAATTGAAATTTTTTAATATAATATTCTCCATGTGAGCTTGCTCAATGTAGCGGAGACTTGTATGACTCTAAGCAAGTCTAGCAGCTAGCACTGAAATGCCAAAGCTTTTGAACAGCACAAATTAATGATGTGTGCTCACTCAGAAGTAAAGAAGACTCGTGTCCGAATAAAGTATGAGCAACCACTGAAGGCCAAAATCTACTAAAACTAAATGAAATTACAAAAGTGTGTTGTTGGCCAGTAAATACTACCATCAATTATAATCGTGCACAGTAGAGTCAAAGAAATTACAGTCGACCGCTAATCCCCCCCCCCTCCCCCACCCCCACCCCGAATAAAAGCTCTCTAAACGAAGTCATATAAATTTAGATAAAAATTATTTTGATTTTTCATAAACAGTGAAATTAGATCTAAACTTTCCCTCTGAGCATGGCTGTATAGAAAAAGGCACTGATTGTAAATTCTTCTTGAAGGTTGGATTCATTTGAGAATTCATGAAGAATTTATTCGAGAATTCATTTTGTCATTGTTCACTCACTTCATGTGAGCCTCGCTTAGAATATTGTTACTTATGCTCTCAACAAACAAACTCAAAGCCTAGATTATTAAAATTCGGTTTTCTTATACAGTTCAAAGTCATATTTCAAATGGAACAGACTTTGAGCTTAGTTGGGTCCAAATTTCCCGACTTCACAGCCTATGCACTGTGATCTGTTACTAAAAATTTCTCCACGTTTTTGTCAGGTCGCTGACGATGGCTACGGTGTCTCCTACATCATCTGCCACGAAAACACCATAATGTTTCACATCTCAAGCAAAGTCTCCTCTCATGAGACAGTAAGTATTCCTTTTATAATATTTCAGGTGACCTGCATTTGCAGCTATTGCTATGTAATGGATTTGCATATTTATCCCGGGGGAGAGTAAAGGCGACAACACAGCCTGATTCTACGGCAAACCACGGCCTGTCGTCCGGTTACCAGTCCATATTGGGTCTGGGATTAGTTAGCTAGTTTGCCCACCTTAGCCGGTGGGCCATGTAAGTGTGACGTAAGAAGTTACATTTTATGACCAATGTTTACAGTGTTGCAAACGCAAAGGTGGAAAACAACAAGCCTCGTTCCAAAACTAAATTTAATCGCAAGCTCAAAAAATTCCTTGAATTATTTTAAACTTTGGTTTAAAATCAAAATTTGGTTTTAGTTTGGTTGTGGCAGCATCTTATCTTATTAGACTACCATATTCATTATTTTATCATCATCTTATCTTAACTATTTTTTATCTAGGAGACTCTCTGATTACACTCTTTTGAATGTATTTATATTTCCACGTTATTATCTCCGTATCTATTTATCTTATCAGAACTCATCTCGATTTGCTGATAACATCGAAAAAGCAATGATGGATGTGAAGGACCTCTGCGAATATGCAAAGAAAAAATAATTTGAGAAAAAAACAGAAAAAATTAGGAATTATTATTAGGTTTTAATGCATTGTGTTTTTATAAAATAAGGGGGGAGCACTGGGGGTAAAAAGTAGGGGATTTTATTTTGATTTTACTTATACTTTTGTGGGAAAAAGCGCGTTCTATTTTTTCTGTAATATTTACTGATTGTATTTTTATCTCAGTGTAAAACAGATTTGGAAACCAAAAAAAAAAAATTTCTGAGGGATGGGGGAATTTTTCAGATAAATTTGAATTTGAGTACAATTTCATATAAATCACGATTCAGCATACTTGCATAAATATTTTGACAATTTTGAACAAACCGGCAGTGGCTAGGTATCACTGTAGGCCCTGAACTTTTTTGTATGAGTTATGTGTGACTATTCAAGTATTTATTCGAGTGTATTTTTTTTCGCAGGGTGGTGTATTTTGCTAATTTCATATTTTTAGGAGCATGTCATTTACATTACCAGAATCTCAGAATGTGTTCAAGTTTTGCTATTTATATACAAGCCCAGGTGCTCCGGAAGTATTCACACCAAGATGACGCACAACCTGAACAACCTTAACCTGGTACACATACTATGTTCAGGTTGTGCACCATCTTGGTACGAATACTTTGGGAGCACGCAAGCCCTAATTAATTAGGTGTGTAATGCCAGCTTTTTTCTCTACTGGATTTAAGTCACAGCGCTCTTGGCTGATTTTTAATTCTGGGTGTCCGAAAGTATTTTTTACTCTGAATATTCCAATGGATAGTGAAAATAGTGAGGGTGCTCCCGAAGTATGTGCACCGAGATGTATAGGTACCAGGTTAGAGTTCAGGTTGTGCGCCATCTTTGTGCAAATATTTCCGGAGCGCTTAGATATGAATTTTCGACTCCGGACTCTACTCTAGTAGTCTCTAGTTTTTAGTCCGGTGGTTCCCAACCATCAACAGCTTCCTTCCTGAGGCTTTAAGGACTCATTGGCCCCCTGTTTATCATTCCAGTGGTATTTATAGTTTTATATAGGTTGGGAACCGCTGCTCTAGTCTTTGAATACAGCTTTCCAATATCAATAAGAGCAATTCAAACTAAACTCTGCAGAGTTTCAAAATATGGCTCGGACTCCAATATTGTTAATAAAAGCTAAACTCTGGGGACGCCCTAACGCAGGGGTGTGCAACCTGTGGCCCATAAGAAAAAATGGTGTGGTTCGCGAATTAGTGACATTTTTGAAAGGTGTGCGGCCTGTAAAACGAGATTTTATTAGTTCAATCTGGCAGTTGAATCTGGTATTTTAGTTGCAAAGCCTATATTTATTATCCAATTTATGATCTACGCTTATGACATCACAGAAGCGAACTACGCATGTCATAAGATTAATAACCAAAATTGTTTTGGTCGCAACTACTAGAAAGCATGTGTTAAAAAGGTGCGTCCCGCGGTTTCGCTAAGTTATTTGTAAATGGCCCTCTTGTATTAAAGGTTGCACACCCCTGGCTTAAACTATTCAATCTCAAAAAGCTCTCCCGCTTATGATCACTGAAGCATGACTGGGCAGAATACCCACATCCTGACAAGCATGGTAGAATTCTGTAATTTGAAATTATTTAGATATAGACCTTTATACTTTTGAATTCAGACTCACCATTTTCTCTATATACTTGACTTTTAGCTGTTTTTTTGTGTTTTAAATCTTTTGAAAGTAAATTGGACAAATATGAACATTATTTTACAGGACTGTGTTATTTCTATGACATGGAAGGGGTGTAGACATTTTGAACAAACAATAAAGAATGATAAAAAAAATTGTTAAGCCCTGGTAGTCAGTGTCGTACTTGACAATGTTGACATTGCAAGTTTGGAATATTGAGTTTGAATTTCAGATCAGGTGTCGGCGATAGAAGTTTCTTTTCAGTTGATTATATTTTGAACTCTGTTCTTCCTTGTGTTCCGACGGCTAATTTTTATCGATAATTGCTTTTCTGTTTTGACGCGAATTTCGCGGGCGTTACTGGTGGGTTTCATTTTATTTACAGTCAACCGTTCTACAATAAACGCGTGTGACATGGAACCTCTGTGTGCCTAAATCTGACATCAGGGTCAGATCCCTCTTCTAAAATGTAAAAAAAAAGCACGATAGGAATTTTTCATAGCTTGAAACTCCCTCAAAACTGTTGAAGACACACGTTTCGGGCCAGTAACCGGTTCTGCTACCGGTAGCTGTTACGTCTAACTTGGCAATTACAAATTTCAGAACCCTCCTCCGAAAATTTTGCTTTTCGGAAGGGCTTTCGAATAGGTTCAGACGTATGACTCTTTTCTTCGAGTGAGTTATTTGATGAAACCTGTTTCCCATTGTATGTGAGTGTAAAGATAATGTTACCATTTTAGTCTACAAAACACTACACTAACTTGTGTGGAAGGATGGATAAATAATCTTGACTGACAAGTGCGAATGTTTAAAAAGTCCACACTAGGTGTCAGTATAGAACAACAAAATTCATCAATGTATTCTCCGATGATTGACATCTGATGATCAGGACATTTCTTTTGAATTCGACTCAATTCCGACTTTTTCTTCCGGTACATCGACTAACATATTGCAAACTCAACACACCTACGACCTTTTTAGTAGTACATCAAATAATATTATGCAACTATCAACCCGTCTCCCATTCAATTGGGTATTTTTTGGAACTGCAACAACAGCCACTATGTGGCAACAATGAGCAATATCCATTTAGTATCCATGACGACTAAATTGTAACTTCCGGGCTAGGTTCATAATTTTTAGGTATCTGGAAGGCAGAGTTTTGGGTTTAAAGTATAAAGAGTTATGTTGGAAGATAATTTATGATGGGTTGCCCACAGGAGATGGAATAAAATACTGGTTCATTGATGAACCAGGAGTATGTGTTTCATGTGATAATAGAATTGAAGAAACTGTATGTCATTTATTTTTAGAATGTGACTGGACTATTGATTTTTGGCCATGGTGTTGCATACATAATAATCAATACTGTTATAGCAAATGATTCAGAATGCAAATCAAAATTAATCACAATAATATATAGAAAATCAGTAATTAGGGAATATCGAAATTCAGTAAAATATGATGAAATAGATCAAGTGTAAATTGATAGAAATCCTAAATTTATTTAAACCAAGGGAAAAGAATTGAATTATTATTATATGAACACATGGATGATCTAATACATAGGTCAATCATGATTTAAGTTTTTATGCAACGCCAAGTATGATTAATATCCTGTGAAGACTTCTGAAACTCTACAGGTTGTATATCATTTTCATGGGATGTAGATGTATGAGACATAAGAGGCGAATAGTTAACTGGCCAGATGCAGGAAGGCTATGTATTGGATAAGCAGGCAAAAGTTTGGGATTCTGAATGTTGAAAATGTCATTAGTAATAGCTTAAATTTACTAGTATTTGGGACTTTAGATACACAGCTACCTACCGTAATTTTATTTCAAAAATCACATGATGACTTGCAAAGAGATTATCATAGTGTAGCTGTAAACGGAACACTCAATTAAGTGTTTTTAAGTGCTAACATGTATTCCTGATGTTCTGTTTCAGTCAAAGAGCTTTTTTGAGGAGTCTTCTCCACATTCATGGTCATGTTTTGTAGCCAATATTAAAACTCATCAATAATGGCTCCCGAAACTGATTCATTTTCAGAGGTATTTGACATGGAAATACTCCATGAAATAGTGCTCAATGATAAGCTACCATAATACCAAATTCTTAGTAGTAATATCATGTTATATGGAAGTTATGTTATAATAATATCGGGGGTTTACTCTAGAGAAACATTATTGGGGTATAGTCTAGTGGGTTGTGACACAGAAGCTATTTAAGGTGGGCCACGAAGCTTTTTCAGACAGTACATACAGTTTTCGATTAGATCGAAAAAATGGCATTATCATTATATTCAACAATAATAATTATGAGGCGATGTAACAATTAGAATTATGCTTTGCTTCGCGTTAATAATTTCAGTACGCCCCTACATGTTGGAAAGCGTAGGTAGACTACATAGCAGGTAATTTGTCAAATTCGGGTAGGCAGTAGCAAAGGTACCGGTTTATAGGTAATTGTTAATGCTATGTCCAATTAGTTGCATTTTGAATACTGGCTGAACCGGGGTTAATATACTTTATTCAAACACCCAAACTTGCAAATGTAATATGCAAGCTCAAGTTTCGCATTAATATTAAATTTCATGTGGATGCATTGTTTCTTTTTCCATGTATTAACATCTTATAGTGAGTTGCAAAATGGCAATGAAATTGTCTTTCAAATTGAAAAATGTTGGGAAGCTCTGGTATAGTCAATACTGAAACCAAAATTTCCAAAAATACAAAGTTGATCATCATAAGTTAATAAAAGATAAGTCAGAGGTATTATTCTTATAAGCTTTCATGAGTTTGTACAAGCAGATTTTGTTTGAGAGGCCAGAAATCAATTCAGTTCTGAATAAAATGTTTATAATCTGGAAATAATGTAAATTTGACCAACTATCATTGAATTGCAATAAAATTCTTCTTCTAAACCAGGGCTACTCAACTTTTTCTACTGAAAATCCGCATACAAAACTTTAAAATTATTTGGGTTTGGTGTTTCCAGAAATTATATTTTGGCATTCTTAAACACTCACTTCCTCGAACGGCTATTAATTATCAGCAAATCAAGATGGTTTATTATTGTGTTATAGTTTTTTTCATATATATATTCAAAACTCTATAAGTCATTTTATATAATAAAACTTCAAAATGGGGGCTAATGATCCAAAATAAAGAATTACCTAGGTGTTGTACAAATCAAATACTCGAAAGGTCCGGATTTGGACTGCGATCTGCCCGTTGAGTAGCCCTGTTCTGAATGATCTAAGTAATTCGATGCAAAAATATTCACAGCATGAGACTGATGTGAGAAAAATAAATTTGTCATAAATGTGTTTTTATATTAATATTATATTATCATGAGTTAAGTATACATG